GTCCTTGAATTATTAAAATCTCTACAGTTCCTGATTATGAAGCCCAAGCACTTGTATGCTTTGCTGGTAACAGTATCAATGTGCTCGAGAAACGTTAGCTTCGCATCAAATATTATGCCCAAATCATTGAATTCCTGACACGGTTTTAGCGGCAATTTATCAGCGGTGTAAACAAAATGAGTTGATGCAAGCTTGCGCGTGATGGACATTGTACAATATTTATCCACATTAAGATACAGATTGTTACTTTGACACCATATGTAAAGAGCATCTAAATCATTTTGTAGTTTGTGGCAGTCGCATTTGGTAGAAATATTCCAAAATAAATATCTTTAAATCATCAGCATAAAGTAGACAGCAGTTCATTAACAACATCATCAATAAAAATGAGAAACAGTATGGGACCAAGTGCAGACCCTTGCGGTATACCTGAAGAAGGTGTAATGTCAATGGAAGTAAAACCTCTATATTCAACTCTCACATAACTGTCAGATTTGAATTAAAAAAGCACAAAAATTTATGACTCAATTCCCGGTCTCCTTTCTTAAAAATTGGAGCAACGCTAGATGTTTTAAAGAAGTATTGTTAGCTGATATTGCAGGTTGAAAGCTAGTTGAGGAAATGTAAGTTGATTGAAAAAAATGTGCGAAGGCATTGACAATATCTTGATGATGATGATGCCGTATAAATTGAACAGATGTCAACTTACTGCACGCACAATGATATTATTAGGTTTGTTCCAACAACTAGTCCCTAGCTAGTTTAGAACTAATTCCGAGTTATTTTACGCGCATGTCCAATGTAAATACTGTTCAGAACTAGTTCCGAACTATTTTGTTGGAATAAAGAATTACCGCGCTTGTTGTCGTAGACGTAACCTTAATTGAAATAAAATTGAAAATTATCGAGTTTCTGTGTGCGAGACTTGGATTTATTGTTTTGTGATGTACTGTACACCTTCTTAAAAAAACAAATGGTCTAACGAGATGGCAGGTTTAATAAGAGATGTGCATCTTGGCAAAATATTACAAAGAAATAATTCGAAGCCTTGTATTTTTAAGAACTGGAATAAGGCTTACGATCGCGCTCTGCTACAGCAGCATATGAGGGAATTAAAAGGAATGTGAATAATACTAAGCTATTAATTGACTTGAATATAGAAAAATTATATTACGAATAATATGGTTGAAACAAATTCACTCATCAACATTTACCTATGTACCTGTTACCTTTTATTTCTGGTTCTTGGAATAATCGGCGAAATATCTTCAACTTCACTTGTATCTAATCGTAGCCATTTTTTGAATATGTGTAATAAACGGCACAATAAGTGGTTGATACTTAACTTTGATATATGAAGAGATTGAAAGGCACGAAGTTTCAGCCTCAAAAATCAACTTCTCAGCTAAGAATAGCTGGTCGACGCCTTTGGTTCTGTACGGAACAGGGAACTGCCAGTTACCGAATTAGTTCCATTTTCTGTTGGGACGGTAGTTTCGATCTGCTATTACTTTGTTCAGTTCAGAAATAATTAGATGTGGAACAAAAAAATGCAGCTCATACAGACATGTTAAATTTATACCCCTTTTGTGTCGGCGTGTCACTCAACTTGGAAAACAGGTGCAACGAATGAATGAGAGAGACCGGAAAAACTTGAAAGTAGATGGATCATGGATCGCAAGTGTTGTATGAAAGAAGCTAAGACTGGTGTGGAAATCACAAAATATACACTGAAAGAATGCTTACTCAGTGTAATTCAACCAGCAACACGAATGCCGCCATTTCGTGGTGAACGAACAAATATGACACAGAAAGAATGCCTGCTTACTCAGAACAATTCGACGAATGACATATGCCGCCATGTTTCTTACAATGACATACGGCGGTGCTCTCATGGTTGCCTACTTTCTCACCACATCTGTCACTCATTGTCATCTTTATTTGGTTGGGTTGAATGGTCTTCCTAATAACAAAAATTAATTTTGCATTAGGAAAAACAATTCCAACACCTCACGTGTATTTGTGATTGGGTTCGTTCAAGAGTGATAAATAAAACAATATAATTAGGAAAATAACTTTATTCTGGTAGATAACGTAATGTGGTGCATTAGCAATATAGCGCAATGAAGAATCAGAAACCCCCATATATATACGAGCATAAGGAAACTACAAAAAACCCAAGATACCACGCACAACAAAAATTCAATAACTAAAATATTGTGAAATCTGTATGTAAAGGGTACAAGATTTCGTTAAAAAACATAACATTGTACTTCTGAGTAAACATTAATTTGCAAAATTTTACATTTATTTTACATCAGTAAAGCCTGTATGTATATGGTACAGGCCATATATAGTAATTTAGTAACTCAACATAAAATTCTAAAAAATAAAATAAAACACAATTTGGTAAAAATGTCTTGGTCAGGTATGCCACAGCCGGGATTGTGGTTCATCCACGGAGTTATATGAAATAATTAAAAAAACCAGCAGCAAATATTCGAAAATGATTTACCTGGTGGCATTCAACCTTTTCATTTTCCTTGAATGACCATCAGATGTTTCAAGAGGTCTTTTCAAAGAATTTTGATGTTTAATATACTAGAAGATTGTCAGTCTGATGCATTTGTTAATGATATTTTTGAAATGAAAATTGTAAGGCTGAAAATTTTCAAGCAGTTGTGTCAGACCTGTTTTGAAGGAGGCTTGAACATCAGGCAAATGGGCAAACTTATCCAAAAAACTATACAGTTTTACATGGATAACATCTAGTAGATGACTTAGTTTGTCATTTGCGTATGTCAGCCTTTGCTTGTTGTTCTGTTCCTTGAAATGAACATACAACTGTAATGGGGTCAACTCATCAGAGAACAGTGCTTCCCGACATGTAGGGCATTGGGGGATGTTAACATCACTTTGTGTTGCGGTGAATTTGATACATTTTAGATTCCCTTGCTGTTAATTGACTTTTACTTACTTCTAATTGTGTAAGGCATGAACTCGAAGCGTCTGACAGAAATGTATATTTATCTTGATAATGAGTCTGTACCACAAAATCTGGCTTAGAATATCAGTGATCGTGTTCAATTGTACTTACATCTGTCAAGTCTTTGGTACTTCTTTTGGCAGGCAATTTACATGGCTTGCTGCCGAAGTTGAAGGAGAATCACAAATGCTTGCTGAGAAACCAACAGAGCATTCCTTCAATGAAACTGCAATATCAGAATGACTAATAGGTTGACTTAGAATTTGACCATCAACATCTTTTGGAACTGCAAGACAGTTCAAACGTGAATAGGGATCCTGAACGGAAACATGATCAGATAGTACGAACTGGTCTTCGCAAACATATTTATCAGATTTTCTACTGGAGCTAATCCACAGGCATTGTATCATAATTGCCTTTGACAGTATGACTATTTGGAACGAGTGGTAGTAGTATGGTAGTAGTATTTCATTTCTTTATTGGTGCTTAATATACTCGCGTGCTTACACAGGTCAAAGTAGAAGTAAAATTACAAAAGTGTAGATTGACAAAACAACAAAATTGGTTAGAAAGGACAACATTAGGAGAAAACTTCAAAAAACTTCAGCAGATTAACTGGAATATGATATTATGATTGTAAGTTGAATTCAAAACTATGGAACAACCACATCGGAATAAATCAACAAACATAGAAAAGTGAACCAGCACACTACAATACGAGAATAAGAATTCTTCCTTTGTATAAAAAGCTTTACAGACAGGATAAGCTTTAATTCTATACTTAAACGAGCCGGGGCCAATCATTCTGATCTGAGTACCTCAGAAGAACATTGTAAAAGTGGATTGCATGATCCAATACCACGATTCACGGCAAGTAATATACAGGGTGTCCGCAAAGTTGGGGTTTTCCTTTTCAGAAACAACTACTCTTGAAATAACAAAGGTAATGTGTAGTGAAACGAGGGCGACCAAGTAAAAAAAAAATAAAGGAAAAAGTACTCACTCTCCAGTTGACGAGAAGGGCTAAGTACGTCTCTGCCCGAAATCATACCGCTCCAACAGAAAATGAAATCAGCTGATGCGCTACCGAACAGACGCAGGCAAACAAGGAAGGCAAAATGTTGCGTAAAAAGTCTAGATATTGCATCCCGTCCAATCGATTTGGGAGAATAAATGGTCCAATGAGCATACCGTTCACCATGCCAGCCCAAACATTCACCGAAAATGTTTGTTGAAAATGTGCCCGACGGACAGCGTGCGGATTTTCTACTGACCAAACATGAGTGTTGCGAAAGTTATTCACCCCATTACGCGTGAACGTAGATTCGTCTGTCACCAATATGCACTTCAAAAAGTCCGGATTATTGTCATATTGATGCAACAACCACTCACAAAACCGTACTTTTGCTGGAAAATCGTCAGGTTGAAGGGCTTGTACACGTTGGACGTGAAACGGATATAGCCCCTCTTCACGCAGCGTTTGCCACACTTTTGTCTTTGATACTCGCACTTCTCTAGCCACGTCTCTAGTGCTTGTTGAGGGATTCTCGTCTACGCGATTATCTCTACACGCGTGACCGTAACCGTCGGTTGAAGGTTGCATACTGACCTGACACACTGACCCCGACCCAGTTCTGTCGTCGGGTTGAGCTAGTGTACTAGTACCACTGGGGGATGTCGCGGCTACAGGACGGTATTCAGATATTTTTGATGTTGCAGAGCCCTTTATCTCGGTTCCCTTAAGACATTGGTGTATATGGTACTAAGAAAAATTGCTTATGTTTTCAAGATCTACACGTCGTGTAAAGGAAAACCCCAACTTTGCGGACACCCTGTATTGTGTTAGTTCAATATAGTTGTAAACTATCTATTCAGCTATTAAAATATGCATTTTTGCTTAAGTGGAGCATATCCCAATTATAGCATATACTATTTTGAAGTCACAACCGTGATGCGTCACGGAAGATCACATCTTTTTGAGCGAAACAACAACAAAGTACTTCCGCCTCCCTTATAAGTTCGCTCTCTAGTTTCCTTGTCCTTTTCGCGCCATGCTGTCTCCCGCGTCTCATCTAGTAAGCCGAGCACGTGCTTTTGTGACCTGCGCCATAGAATTCTGCCTCCTCCGACTTCGACGCTGGGCTAATGGCAAATCCATATCGCCCGACGAACGTGACAGAACGGGGGGGTCCTTCACCGAGTCCGGAATCACGTCCCGAAACACCTTTGAGAATACGAGTGAAATGAGAATGCAAATCAAGTAGCACAGTATGGTACGTAATCTCATATAGGCTTTACGCCATCTATGAGCGAGTAGGTTTCTAATTATTGCGGTGATGACAACCATAACTGTCACAAGTTCTCATAGATGACGCCATTTTTTGGACGCTGTAGGATAGTATCAGGTTGACTATCTTCAGGTCGAATACGTTAGTCAATGGTGAAACAAAAAACTAGGTTGGAGATGAAGAGGAAATCTCGTCGATCATATAGGATGATCTGGGTCAGTATTCTGGTTCTCAATGCATAGTGGCCGCTAAGTTGACTGACTAGATAAATAAGGTCGTTGCATCGTTATACCACTAATGCCATCTGACGGAGGTCCCAGTGGTAAGAGATTATGGCAGAGGTGGCAAACTTGATTACACTGTACGAAAGCTCCTGTATATAACAAGGCCTTGAGGAAAAAGAAATATAGACAGCTAGTATTGAGAAGCCAGCGAAAAGTAGTGCTGCGCATTGTATTTGCTAGCTGCGAAGAGATGTGCGCTTCGAAGCTAAAAGTAACGAAAGAGAGGCGCCTTTTGTAAGATGGCAGGAGAGATGAGATGCAGGGACCAGAAGGATGATCCTAGATATTAAAACTTGGATTGCCAAGGGAGCGGTGCAGATAGATTACAGTTCCTCACAGGATACGGTTGCTTTGACACCTACCTGAAGAGAATAGGAATTGAATTGAATTGAATTGCGTATATTGAAGACCAGGCTACTCTTCATCACCTACTCCAATGTGGTAGGTGGGATGACTGAGAGACACAACTCGAACAGGCACTCGGCGAGAATTTCACTGCTGAGTAAGGTTCGGGAGAACAAAAAAACCAAGGAATCAATAGTAGGTTTGTATATTGCTCGGTGGTACATGTACACGAGTATAAAAGTATGTATGTGTACAATAGAGAAAAGGTGAACGCAAGAATTACTGTGGTGGGATGTGCAGCGAGCGACTGAGTTTTAGTGAGTATGCCATTTCTAAAGCATCTCACACTTCGGGCAGGAAGGGCCAGCAGGGCAATACTGTCGAGTTTTTCTGCCTGCGAGTGGCTATAAAAGCTTTCCCCTGTCAAAAAATGCATAGTGGCCATAAGATGGAAGTCTGCGCCGTTGAGCAGCACGTAAATGACCATTTTTCTTGAACAGTATCGTTAGTATCAAGGCATTGATATGGAACCTGAAACTGACAATAAAGTAACTAAATCTCAGCAGTACGGTGTGTTTATTCTTCTATGATGTATTGTCATCCCGTTTATATAATTGATGATTTCCTTGAATCAGCGGCACATTCCATCATATTCTGTGGGGTCAAATAATTCTTACATTACACTTAATCATCATTGGCTGCTATTTGATGAGCATCGACGTCATCTTCCGACCAACAATGTTAAAGTTAAAACGTAAAAATATTATTTAATAAAAAGTGCTATAGCTACTATTAAATTGAATAAGACATTTACAATAAAATAATGAAACTTTTAACTGAAAATAAAAACAACTTCACACAATAAAGATATAGATAAACTAAGCACATATTTAACATTCAGTCAAGAATATACCTGCCTGTTACAAAAATGTAAATTGTTTATAGTCCAGTATTTAGTTGCTAGTAGATGCGCAACTTTTCTGACATTTGGAAGATCAAAGGAATATTATTAAGTACATGTCATTTTCTTTTGACGGCATCGCTTCAGGCAAGTTGATAAATTGGCAAAAAATAATAGGTCAAAATGCCCGAATTCATAACGAAAAATAGTGTGTACGTTCTCTTATATGGCATCTACATCACGAAAAACCATATAACTGAGTCAGTCTGTCCGCCAGTCGCTCTGTCTGTTTGTTCGCTGTCTAAATTGGGAAGTACGGCTCGAATTGTCATAAAGTTTCCACACAAGGTTATTACTCTGCCAAAGAGAAGAAGGTTTGTACTTTTTGAAAATCGGTCCGGTGGCGGCGGAGGAAAAGGCCAAAAACGAAAAAATAAAAGCCACTCAAAGTTATTTTTTTTTGGCGTATTTTTGCTCACCATTACCGTCGGCGAGGCCATACACATACGTAATGCATTTCCGCCATTTCTGCATTTGAATAATTCACCATTATTAACAAGATCGTAAAAACTAAATAATGAAAAAGATGTCACAGCGAATAGATTTGAATAACAGACTTGTTGTCCTTGGACAATAGAACGGTTTTTATGTTTTACTCAAAGGAAGGAAAACAATTCAAGAGAGATCATTGTTTTAAATTGAACGGGAATTTAAAAATAATTTATTTGGCGTACCATTTTTTTCTTGAAAAATATCGAAGTCAATACCCGTACGCACGCCACTGTTAAAGCTAAAAATTATTTTTGCTTTGAAAAATATACAACTTTGTTAACTTTCACTACGTACTAAATATCAGTGAAATATCTGAAGCGGTTCTGAAAATATTAATTAACTTCCATTTTTTTTCCTAAAACTTCAACACCCCGAGTTTTTGTAAGGAAACATTTTTGGACCATAGTTTATAAAGCAAACTAACATTAATTCCTCATGTAGATTCACACCCTTAAATATTCGCATATCATTAAGGAACACCCTGTATACTATATGTAATATGATGATGAATTCAAAATGAAAGCTTGTCCGTGGGGCTGATATTGCAATTGAAATGGTTCACGTGAAGGTAGTTTTAGTATAAATGGAATTCCTAAAAATTCGGTATTTCTTTTTATAAATCAGAATAACACATTTATAGGACGACCATCGTGGAACGGCATTAAAATGGTTTGCGTAGGAAATTGAAAACGAAGCCTCTCAGGCACAAGAAGGAACTGCGAGTAGGGGGGAAAACCTTGTTTGAACTCCTCTTCTCGATAACATTTGCATCCCCCCGTTTCACCTTAGGCAAACAAACAACGTTAGAGGTAGAGAGGACGCTGTTCTACCGGCGCCTGGGGGGTGGTTTCCTTAAAAGAGAAGCCTCCAATCTAATAAGTTCTCCTGGAATTGCTGGGTTTTCGGTTATAATCTCTTAAATGGCAGGATTTAGGTTACAAAATGCGCAGGAAAAGCTGTTCTTAAAGGTATTAGCCAGGATATTGGTGAAACAGGAGGAAGTTAATTATAAAAATGTTCTGGAATATCATTCCCAGCCAAGTTGGTCAAATCATTGTGGTGTTAATGCAAGACTAGACACTTGTTCTACAAGCTAAATAAACGATTATAATGAAGTGATACATTTCCTCAAATGCCATAGATTTGTAAAAGCAAATAACGTGGGTTTGTCTATTATTTTCCAAGAATTCCATTACATATTTTCAAAATATGAGAAGGGTGAAAAATATCACCAGTTATCGTTTTGTCATGCTCTGGCTAGCTGAATTTTGTCTGCACAATCACAACATACATGTAAAACTGCTGCTATTGATTTAGGTTTTTAGTAATAGTGACGGGAGTAATTTGGTTAAAATATTTATACAATGGTGACACTTCCGTTTGTACCGGAAGTAGATATCATCTTGCTTACCATATGTAGAACGTCCTGGATCGATCATTGGATTCTTGAATAACCTTTAGACCACATCGAATGATTCAACGAAATTTTTACAGAATAGAAACTGGGTAAGGCTTTACATGTTTTTGTCCTCGGAATGATTTAGTTCTAATGTAATATTGTTTTTAGATTATCAGCTCAATAATAATATTCAAGGCAAACCTTATCATTTAGTTTAAAATTAATTCTTGTTTGATTTAGATTAAATGAACCGATTATAAAAACAGCCTCGTTTCAATACTGCTTCTATCGATTTACCCTGCAGCCAATCACCAAAATGATCCACAAAGGCCTTATTAACATTGATTAAGTGATTTGAAAATTTAAATCTGGATTTTGTTTTCAGGCCGCCAATTACTATATTTTCAAAATGGTGGAACCATTATATCAAAATCAGCATCATAGTCAACAAGGCAATAATCAAATAACAATCTATTTTATTCAGATAATGGCCAAGCTTCCCAAAAACTACTTTTAAGCCATTTGGGTCAGTCACTTTTCAAGAATTTGCTTTTAAATGTTCTATAGCCACCATTTTTTAACGTTTATGATTAACTAGATTTCTGCCCCACAGTTGGCTGTCAATTTATTAATACCATCAAAGATACATGACGTGATCAAGTTTATAGGATTAGAAGCAATGTTTTATGTTAGTAAAATCTTCAAGCGTACGAAGCCGCAGGTAACAGCTAATGCAAAATAAAACGTCTGTATAGTTTGATGGTCACAGGCTGAGTGTTGCGATGGCAGGCCGCACAGTTGCCGGCTTGACGCTGACGGTGGAGATTTTGGTACCTGCTACAATAGTTGATTGCAAAATCGGCGAGTTCGTGGATAAAACCATGCCTATGATTGTGGTGCACAGGTGGTGCTGATAGACTGGACAGACAATTACGTTGATATACATAAGATATTTAAAACGAAATTTGAACTCGTTCATAGATAACACGTTTTATTCCATTTGGTTTAAAAAACTAAATAGGGAACCACCACATAAGATTTGCGGGTATTATTAATACTTTTTCAATAGATTCGAACCTCTGCCCAAAGTACTTTTTGACTAAGCTCCAACAAAAAGAGCACTTACATGTTAAGTATAGGTTTTTGCCATTTTCTTTAACAGCGATTACTGTGTTTCTTCGAAAGTCAGTCCCTTAGTCTCGGGTAGCACAACCAGTTGGTCAGTACAGTTGATAGAGAACAGCAAAAAATATAAAATACATTTCGTATATTGAGTTAAAAAAATAAAGAGGTAGAATATCGTGGTAGTTCCCGTTCCTAAAACAACTACCGATACAGACATGCCTTTATATTTAATGCTATGTGAAAATTGTTCGCCGTGCATCAGATATGGTATTATCGATATATCAAAGGATATATTATATGGTAGAATAGCAGACCAAACTTGCTAGAGGCAGCAGATGAAAGTAGCTAAGATCAGTTTGAAGTTGGAACTGATCAATGCAGAAATAAATAGCGATAACTCAAAAAAGTAGTGCACATGCTGCCAAAGATATTAACTTACGATTAGGCTCTCCTTCTTTCAACATACCCAGCTGTGTAACACGAAAATACTAAAAACTATAGCTACAAAAACATCCGTAAGTCTAGGATAGTACCTGCCTCTTCGAATATGTACCACGAATACACTGCAATCCTCTGAACTGTTGAGAAATATTCCACCCAGAAGAGCGAATCAAAAGAAGTTCTTTCCAAATTTCTTTCTGTGGTGTTTGCTTTTTGACATCTGTCTCGAGTTAGTGGCAGGGCTTCTCGACGCGTTGCTTCTTCCGCAAACATTTTAGTTATTCTCAGGCTTATTTTATTCTGGTGAGTAGCTGGTACAGTGACGGGCATCAGGAGAAATAGGATACCGGATAATATTGGAATTGTTGAGCATCCATAGGATGATTGTTTGATATCATCATTTATTGGGCTTCATAGGTTTTTATATTATTTATTCATCTGATTGATCAAAATAATCTCACTGGGAACCAGAAACGTTTTATTATCTTGATCTGTGGTGAAATATCCAAATAAATAGATGACCGGTATGAAAAACGGTGGGAGGGTAGGTTTGGACATTCCACCTGTATTCCTTCATACAGGAAATATGTATGGACCGAAAATCAAAAAATATATGAGATGTTATTGGATCCGTTTTAGCAGTATATAATCAAATTATACGATGTGTTTTTCGATTCGTCTTGTCAGACCGAGTGACACTGAATACATAAAAATTTCCTAAAATTAAAATGGTTGATCAGCCGATGCGGCGCTCAGCGGAGAATGAACGCAATTGATTCAAATTTCCAAAGATCTTTGAGATACAAGCTAACTTGAAAAATGAACTATGACGGCGCTTCTACACCCTTACGGAAATACTGAGGGCCGTATCGTCAGTCGTTCCTATAATTATAGGATGCCTTTATGGCCTCCTTGATTTTCATAGCCCTTCTCTCCTTCCGAAAGGCTGGGGTATTTTTGAATTTCTACTGTTCCATGTCAGCGTCACCGCTCTCCTATCGTGAGGCTATGTTTTCTTTTTGAATTGTAAGAAATTTCAAGCTGATATAACAGATGATATAAATCAAAAGGATGAACAATTTGATGCAAATAGATATTTGTAACATAACCTCAAAATAGAGATGGAACAGTAGAAAACTATGAAAATCAAGGAGACCATACAGGCGTCCTACAATTCGTTTGCTTGGAACTTCAAAGTTGAAAGTGCTCAGAAGTAAACTTTCCAGTATAGAGGTTTGAAAATTTGGACATGCTTATCTATGTAATATGTAAATTAATTAAAACATTTTATTTTTATTGTAGTCATATTTTGAATAGAAGAAATTATTAAAAAATATATTGAAACATCATATATCTGAAATATATTTATTTGAAAAAAAAAGAACATACAATGATGTTAGTCTGAATTGAGAACGAAAATGTATTTTATTACACATACAACTTAATATTAATTCTAAATCCACTTTAATGCTTTGATGGCTGCCACCTTCTCGGCAGGCAAGTAATTTTTGGCTTCTGTAGGTTTTAGAAGAACCATTACTGCTAATGCCGCTGATCTAGTTATATTAACAGGTCTCACAGCAAATGTAATCCATGTTTCCTCTGCATGGGACGTTTTAAGACTCAGTTGAAAAAACGACTGTGTGAAATTTAGAACTGTTATTTTAGCAAAAGGTACTTTTTTGTAATAAAGAAATGCTGTACACTCTTTTAAGTCTTTAAAATTCGTAACTTTCATTTGTATTATGCATTTTTAATTTCCTTTTATAAGTATGTATTTCTGACCTCATTTTTCTTTGCTGAACTGCCAGAATATATGACTAAAATAATCAAAGAATGGACGTATTATCGACACGGACGTACGCTTCTTGACTCGGATATACAATAACTGCTCCTGCAATGTTACGACATGCACAGAATGACAAAATTGTATGTGCACACATACAATTATGTTATATTATCCAATCCACTAAAAAATATTCAACTATGTAAACATGGTTGCCTACTCTTGAAATTTGAACATATTTATGCTTCTGTTATTCTGTAAACACGTAGAAAAAGGCACATACAACTTTATTATTACAAAACCTTAATTTTCGTAAAAATGTGACATATCACTTTGTAATTCTAATTAAAAGAATTGTAGGAACGACTGATTATCAAAGGAAGTTATTGATGGATTATTTTTTAAAAGAATGTGGTTATAATCTACTTATGGGTTTTGATTCTCAGTTATTAGTCTATTGGGTACCTTATCTAAAAAACAACAAAGTTTGACAAGCTGCATATCTACTATCTTGACAATTTGCGTTAGTATGGGCATATAGGTTAATATAGTGATGAAAGGCAAACATGTAGTTAGAATTTCGCGTACTACTTATTACCATAACTTTCAAGGTCATGTGAAAGTCAAGTCACATTTTTCGATGAGATACTCAATTTTTGATTATGGAAATAAAAAGAGTTAGACATTCCACATCGCAATATCTGCCTTTGCCAATAATACATCTTGACCATGACCTTCAAAGTTAGGTCATGGTTAAGTGAACTGCTTGGAATGGGATATGCTACTACTTCAGAGTATTCTGACAAATAATTAGTTCAATAACCAATGTATAAAATTTTATCAAAGTAATGTGACTAAATTTTCTACTAAATTCAGAATCATTCATTACTTAAAATATAGTATTTATTTTTCATTTTTTGTTGCTGTTGAAAGGCTTTATATTCTGTGTGCTTTCGGTTTGAAGTAATGAGATTTAAAAAAAAGTTGAATATTCGCACGATTTTGTAGGAGGAAAGTGACATAAAGTGCTTCCACCCTCTATTCAAATTACTTATACTAAGATTTGAGATATCTTTTGAAAAATGCGAAATTTTCTGATTCTCAAAATCTACTACACTAATATCTCTTTGACTTGACTGCTCTTTATTCACTCGATTAAATGCTTTGATAGGAACAATGTACTATCATACCTAAGCCCAAGCTGTTTATTTACCTACTTCAAAGTGGAGTATCGCTTTGGTTAATTTCAATTCCAGGGATCGCGTTTGTTAAGTTAATCATTTCCAAATGCTTTACATGGCTCGACCCTGCGGCCAGATTCTAGTTAAAGGAATACACAGAGCACGTTTAGGGCGTGTATTTGGAAACAGATGTAGCGATTCGGTAATATAGGGTATTCCGAGAAATTCCATCTGTCAAGACAAAATTTATAAAAAAGATAGAGTGTGTTTAGTCTATAAGTTTCAGGTCTTCCAGCTATTCTATACTAGGAGAGCGAAAGTCTTAAATTTCAGTCCTACAATTGGAAGTAAATCACCATGCCACATCCCAAACACTCCAATGAATTCATGTGGAACCCATAATTGGTCAAGTCATGCCCCTAGTAGACATCAAGATTGGAAGATGGTTTCTCTGTACATTCCGATGTTTGTCAGAATGGCATTTATTTTGAACCTCACATAATAATGAAACTTTTTCGTTATAAAGAAGCAGCCGCGTAAGCAGAAGCCTAAATACAAGGACACTGCGACTGCTATGAGGAACTTAGAGTCACTTTATTATTCCAATTTTTGAACTGCCTAAGATTAGTAAAACCGGGAAAAGCCTCCTCAGACAGATTGTCCCACAATCTCGACATCCTAGGCACAAAGGAGCGGCCAGTTCTGGATGTACGAAGTTCGACAAGTTTAGGACGGTAGGCCAAAGTTAGGCGGGTTTGTCTGGCACGCTCATCGCGCGGAGGTATCATGCAGGGGTATTCTGAGGAGCAAAGCCCTTTGACATACCTGTAGAAGGTAGCTAGATAGCCAACGACCCTTCGCATCGGTAAGGATCCAGAGATTGTATGTTGAAGATGAGTCATCGATCAGTCGGACAGTCCTCCTTTGAATAGCATCGAGCATGGACGGTGTAGCTGCACCTGAATCATGTGAGCGGTACTCGAGGGTAGGTCTTATCTGGGCCCCTACAGAGTGAGAAGGTTATGTGGAGAAAAGTACTTTTCCACCCTAAACAAATAGTCTAGTTGCCGCTATTCACGATATGTGTTCGTGCCAGATCAAGTCCTCGGTGATCCGGACTCCGACAAGCCAAAATGAAAGGCTGTTTGGTAGAACTCAGCCATCCATCGAAACCGAATGAGTGCTAGGGCGCTTGCTGTTAATCAAAGTACAGTACTGTGTTTTGAAAGTATTGAACTGTACCAGATTGTTGTGGCCCCAGCAGTGATAAGCTCCAAGTCTCTCGTCAAAGTTGAAGTCGCTATTAGTATTCTTTTCTCCATCTTCCCGGGAGAGATCGGCTTGTCAACCTGAATTTCTGCATCTAAAAGCAAAGCTGTGGATCGGATTAGTCGTACAGGAAAGGAGGTTGATATCTAAGAGGTACAATGATGGAGCTAAGACCGATCCCTGAGGTGCTTTCCAGTGCTTAGAATTGAGAGATATATGCACCCGGAGTATGACGCTCCCAAACTACTATAGCAAATGCGCACGGGAACACGACGTTTGTTGATACTATTCGTCATTATTCGTCAGAGCGGTCATGTGGACCTCTGCTCTTAGTTAAAAGTCTCGTCGGTCTGTTAGTCTGTCAGGTCTGACTACCCAGAAACCAAACATGTTTAAGGGGAAAAGGGAAAGAAGGAAAGAAAGGAAGGAAGAAATAGAGCAAAGAAAAGAAGTAAATCATTTGAAATATACTAAGTGACATATAAATCCGAACACCCAGTTTAAATGGTTTTATTTTAATAAAATTTCAAAATGATTGCACTGCTTTAAAGCCCTTTGACCTTTAATAATGTGTGGATGCACCCTGATGTGCTACGCATTCTCCAACGCGTCTAGGCATGCTTCTGATCAGGTGGTCAATGTCCTCCTGTGGTATCTCATTCCAGGCAACCACCAACTCCTCTCGATGTGCTTCTAGAGTCTGAGGAGGACGTTGCAAATTGAGCAATCTCATACCCATCATATCCCACACGTGCTCAATTGGGGATAAGTCGGGAGATCTTGGTGGCCATGGTAACAATGTGACATCATTATGTTGAAAGAAGTCTATTGTGACTCTTGCAACATGTGGTCGGGCATTATCTTGTTGGAAAGTTGGATGTGCCAGGGTGTCAAGATAGGGTAATAGATGGGGTTCTAGAACTTCGTGGATATAACGCTGCGCGTTCATGTTACCTCTGATGAAGATTAAAGGTGACCTGGAGCCATAAGCTATAGCACCCCAAACCATAACTCCAACAGTGTGATGAACATGTCTTTCAACAAAAAACTGTGGATTCCTCCTTTCACCACGTCGCCTTC